GTGGTTATTTCCTAAATGTAATACGTAATACGTAAAATTCATTTTTTATAGGATTGTTTGGGCATGTTTTGACTTCACTGATTTTATATGCTTTTTGAGGTACTGAATCCGAATTTGAAGTCGCAATTTATAAAAGTTATAAACTGGTCTTTTACGATTTTTTATTTGAAACCTATAGACCACCGTTATTTGAATAATCTATATACTCAAAATAAGTAAAACATCTTCCACAAAAATTTGGTTAAAACTTGTTAAAATGGTATATACGATAATAAAGTCACAAATGGCCGTCTAAGTTGCTAAATAATTTCTTCTATATTTTTCTGTTGAAATTTTGGCATTGTTGACATTTTAAGTATACTTGCTCATTCATATAACTGCGGTCTGAAGGATATTTGGCTTTATTTAAAACTCAGACGGTACACTATTCAAATCTTACTACAAAATCCTCTTGGGAACGATTAAGGTTTTTTCGAGAAAAGTCTTTAACAGCCTATTTCCTGAAAGCTTTGCTAGACGGCTACACTTTGTGTAATACCAATAATTTATGTTAAAAGTTATTTGGTCTAAGGTACAGAGGTACAGAAAGGTACTATCGAATAAGATATGTAGTTCTTTTGAATAATAAATTATGGCACAGCACCAACACCATTCCTTAGCACTTTTCTGTGACACTATGTAGGCAATAAAGGCATTGTGTAAAAAGATTTTATGTTAAAAACTGCAGATTTGTACAAGACTTTTTTCTTAAAGAGCCTTGGAAAAGGGTTAGATCAATTTACAATGGGATACCTTGTACATCGTAAAACTGATCATTTGAATGAAGTTACAAAGACCATACGTTTTTGATCACAATTTGCTATACAGTATTTTTATTAGCAAGACCAAACCATCAATGGAAAGAAACTACTGACTCTGTATGAGTATCTGGGCATCAATGTCAATGATCTTCTGTGCCCAAGTATCACCCTATAAGGCACGCATTTAATCCAGACAATGCATTTTCAAGACATTGTACTGAGATTATACAGGACGTACTACAGAAGAACTTTGAACCAACGTCTAAACGTACAAGCTGTCACTTCAGTCTACCGGGATCCGCACGGGTATCACGTAACATTAAAAGTGACATTATACCGATTTTTTTGACATTATGCAAGTTTTTCCCAAGACGTTGACTTAGTAGAAGCGATTCACACTAGTCGTGAATTTGTTTGAGTTGTACGTGTTGCCTAAACGTCATGATCTGTGAGTTTGGCTATGATGTGATGTATCTAGTGCTTCAGAGATGGCATTATATTTTTTTTTTATATCGAAACAGCCGCGCAGGCAGAAGCCTAAATGCTGGAACACCGCGGCTGCTATGATGATCCCAAAGAAATTTTGTTAATACGATTTTTGAACTGCCTAAAGTTAGTAGAACTGGGAAAAGCTTCCTCCCGTAGATTGTTTCACAATCTAGACACCCTCGGGGGACAAAGGAGCGATCGTATCGGCCAGTCCTGGATGTACGAAGTTTGACACGGTCAGGATGGGACGCCGAAGTCAGGCCGGTCTGCCTGGCAGGCACATCGCGCGGCGGCATCATGGAAGAGAGCTCTGAGGAGCAAAGCCCGTTGGTGTAGCGATAGAAAAGAGCTAGATCGCCGACGACCCGCCGGTGCGAAAGACTCCCGAGACTGTCTGTTAGAGAAGAGTCATCGATCAGTCGGACCGCCCTCCTCTGGACAGCATCGAGCATGGACAATGTAGTCGGGGCGGTAGCACCCCAAACGTGTGAGCAATACTCGAGGCTAGGCCTTATCTGGGCCTTGTATAGAGTGAGAAGGTCATGCGGAGAAAAGTACTTCTTAGCCCTAAACAAATAGCCTAGCTTTTTCCCAGCAGCTGCAGCTATTGAAGAGATGTGTTCGTGCCAGATCAGGTCCTCGGTGATCTGGACTCCGACCAGCCGAAATGAATGGCTCTTTGGTAGAACTCGACCGTCCATCGAAACTGTATGAGCGCTAGGACGCTTTTTGTTCATCAAAGTACAGTACTGTGTTTTGGAAGCATTGAACTATACAAGATTGTTGCGTCCCCAAGCAGTGATAGCCACCAGGTCTCTTGTCAGAGAAGAAGTCGTCGCTAGTTTTCTTTTTTCCAGCTCAGTGGCACAGATCGGCTTGTCACTCTGAATTCCTGCATGTAGAGTGCTGTCATCAGCGAAGTTGTGGATTGGGTTTATCGTGCAGGAAAGGAGGTCGTTGATATGTAAGAGAAACAGTGTTGGAGCCAAGACCGATCCCTGGGGAACACCCGCGTTGACGTTGTGGGATGAAGAGGAGAATCCGTCAATTACGACGGATATCTCTCGGCCAGAGATAAAGCCAGCCACCCATCTGCAAAGCTTTTCTGGGAGGCCGTAGGATGGAAGTTTGCTTAAGAGGGCAGCGTGCCACAGCTGATCGAACGCTTTCGTGATGTCAAGAGCAACGACATGAGCCTCACCATGAGACTAGATGAGTTTACTCCACTGTTGCGTGACGTAAGCTAGGAGGTCCCTGTGGATCGTTGGTGCCGGAAACCGTACTGCCTGTCGTTAATCAAGCTGTGACTTTCCAGGTGGTCCAGAAGCTCGCGATTTATGCACCTCTCCATCACTTTACTTATAACAGAAAGCAGAGCTATAGGCCTGTAGTTGTAAGGGTCAGTCTTAGATCCTTTTTTTGGGATGGGCTGTACATGAGCAAATTTCCAGTTTTCTGGGAAGGTGCCGGATTCATAAGATATCTGGAAGAGACTCGAAAGAACTGGAGTAAGCTCCGCTGCACATCTCTTCAGTACAAGGGCAGGAATCAAGTCCGGACCAGAAGCTTTGTTGATGTCGAGCGACAAGAGCACTCGTCTTACGGTCTTATGCCTGAATGTTACCTCCCGCATAGTGTGGAGAACCCTTTGAATTGACGGCACTTGGGCGTTGGTGGGGACGTCCATGGTGGAGTTGGCAGCAAAGATCTTGGCTAGCACTTCCGCCTTGGCCTTTGAGTCGAATACAATAGTTCCATCCTGACACGTAAGTGGTGGAAGGCTACTGTGTGAGAAGTTCTTTCCAATCTGCTTGGCCAGCGTCCAGAAAAACCGACTGCCATTGCGCTGCGACATTACCCTGTGCCTAACTTTTATATCATGCTGGTTTTTGGCATTGCGAACCGCTTCGTTATATTTGTTTCTGGACTCGACGTCGGCTTGTCTGTTCTCTACAGTGGGGTTTTGTAAGTAGGTTCTGTGGGCCTTGATCTTCTGTTGGCGAGCAGTGTCACACGATTTGTTGAACCAGCCGTTGGACCCTGGTTTAGGAACTTTCACTGTGTGAGGGATGTATTCCTCAATTCCGACGTGGATAATTTCGGTTATTGAAGAACAGACAGTCGACGCATCCGCGTCGGTGAAACGGACATCTCTCCAAGGAAAGCTAGAGAAAAAGTCTCTGAGCCCCTCCCTGTCGGCATGTCTGTAATGTCAAGTTTTGCGGCCTGTGCGAGTTTCTGCTGCCACAGCGGCTTCTGACCGAAACCTAACCTCCACAACACCGTGATCTGAGTTACCCAGGGGGGACAGGACAGCAGTGCTGTAAGGGGCAGGATGCGTGGTCAGAAAGAGATCCAGCAGGCTACTGGCGTGTGACGAGACGCGGGGGAAAAAAGTAGGGCTCGTCACCAGCTCATTATGGGCATTGAAATCAACGAGAAGAACTACCTATGAAGCGGGGTGATTGATGTTCAGGAAGTCGATCTGGACGGCGAGGTATCCGAGTAGGTCATCCCAGTTATGGTTCGAGGGAGAGCGATAAAGGCAGCAAATAAATTTGGGTGATGTTTTGGAGTTGAGGCGAAGCCACAGAATGTCCTTCCGGTCTGATTCCAAAGAAAGATCCCTGGAGCAGGAAAGACTGCTGCGGACAAAAGCCACAACTCCCCCGTTACTTCTCAGATTGGAGTGCACCTCGTAGTTTGGGAAGTTGAGATGGTTAATTGGTGCAGTCTCTGAGATTTTTGTCTCCACCAAGAAAAGCACGGCGGGACGATTGGATTGCAGGTAGTGATGAACAGCATCAATGTTGCTGTTGATCCCGAAGATGTTCGAAAAACAAATTTTATCTTCGATGTTGTTCCCTCGAGCCCACCCTCCACCCGGACATTCCAAGAGTGGAGTGAGTTTACGTCCGGAGTTCTTAGTGCTCGAGGGATCCATCATCATTAATTTCTTTGTTTTGGTAGATAACGGACTGCATAGCTTAGGTGTGGAAACATGCGCACATTTATAAGACACCTTGGGAAAAGCTAGCTGTAACTTTTATACTAAAGACTACATTTGGGAGGAAAAGGCAGTGCATAGGTACATAGTTATTGAGATGTTACTTGAAATAATTACAAAAACTTATCTAGTGTAAACTATAATCAAAAAGTATTTTATAAACTAATTTCATGCCAACGTTGAAGGAATCTGTTTCATTTTTAATTTATCTGCTCATTTTGTGCTGAACGTGCATTATTTGATTGTAAAACAAAGAGAGTCCAAATTTGGAGTTTGGATATTTGCTGCAACTGAACTATTTTTTTTCAGGAGATTTTAACATTGCCAAAAGAAAAGCGGAGACAGCCAAAACTACCAGATATCTAATCTGCAAATGGAAATATATCTCAAAGCAAAATGATTTGAAAGAATCCAAAATATGATATCAGTTCCACAGAGACTTTGGAATCTGATGTAAAATGCACAGTTTTCTCTGCATTTCAGGTAAACGTTTTTTAAGATATTGAAAAAATTGTCTAAAGTTATTTCAAATGAATTGCCTCAGATGAATGATTCATTTTTTAAAGTGATCTTCATACTTTCTATATAGATTTATTGTGATTGCTTATAATATTACATGTAAATGGTCTGTGTCTGTAAGTTATAAAGTATGAACTGGATATGAAGCCTCAAGCCCCATTAGTACCAGGTTTGCGGTGTTTTACCTGCTGTAGTGCTAATACAGTCATTAGAAACACTGTACACCCCCAGCACATTCAAAAGAAATATATAGTCAATCACATTTGCTGTACGAATTAATGCCACCTAAATCAGGTAATCAGAGCACTAAATTTGACGCCAAGAGAATGCTAGGATTTTATTAGCTACTTTAAGAATCTGGGCAGCCATATCTCAAATATAGTCACTTAGGCAGTCTGATAATGTCTCTGACATAAAGATGATTCATTCTTTTTGTCAAACTTTGTACCAGTTTGTACCATTCAATTGTACAATCTGCAAAAAACAAAGCTTGCTAGGGGACGCAATATTGAGGTTGCTATCACAATCCACCATAGATTAACAGCCATAGAGAAAAAACCTTCAATAAATCAACTTTTTGTCATTGCTTAATAGCTTCATCAGGATTTTCTCCAAAAAAAAACATTTCAGGAAGATGGAAATACGATTTTGTAGTATCAAACACAAAGTTTCAATCACGTCAAGATTGATATATCACGATGAATAACTTCTAAAATCCTAATATGGCAATGAATTCTCTATACAGTTAACACTAGTTTAAACCAATATAAAGAAATCAACAATTCACTGCCACTGTCTTCCAAGGAAAAATTTGAAAGTTTTGAAGAAGAATGGCTATATTATTATATATATAATTTTGTATAAGTACTTAATAAAGCATAATAAGTAAATGACAAAAATTTCAAAATGATTGCACTGCTTTAAAGCCCTTTGATCTTTAATAATGTGTCAATGTCCTCCTGTGGTATCTCATTCCAGGCAACCACCAACTCCTCTCGAAGTGCTTCTAGAGTCTGAGGAGGATGTTGCAAATTGAGCAATCTCCTACCCATCATATCCCACACGTCCTCAATTGGGGATAAGTCGGGAGATCTTGGTGGCCATGGTAACAATGTGACATCATTATGTTGAAAGAAGTCTATTGTGACTCTTGCAACATGTGGTCGGGCATTATCTTGTTGGAAAGTTGGATCTGCCAGGGTGTCAAGATATGGTAAAAGATGGGGTTCTAGAACTTCGTGGATATAACGCTGCGCGTTCATGTTACCTCTGATGAAGATTAAAGGTGACCTGGAACCATAAGCTATAGCACCCCAAACCATAACTCCAACAGTGTGATGAACATGTCTTTCAACAAAAAACTGTGGATTCCTCCTTTCACCACGTCGCCTTCTAACCCTGGTACGACCATCGTGCATGCCTAAACAAAATCGAGACTCGTCACTAAAGACAATACTGTTCCATTCCTGATCCCAGAGTGACCGTTGTCTGCACCACTCAAGGCGATTACGTCGGTGTTCTCGAGTTAAAGGGAGGACCCAGTGTGGCCGGTATGAAAACAAGCCAAAACTTCTCTTTCGTCGGTAAACACTTCGCATGCCAATAGGTCTTCTGTGTTCTGCAAACCATTCATTTGCAATGGACCTGGTAGTGGAGAAACGGTCCCTTAAGGCCAATAATCTTAGGCGGCGATCTTCACGGTCGGTTGTTCTACGGCGGCGTCCAGTGCCCCTTGGTCTTTGCGTACGGCCTTCTCGCAGCCATGCCTGACAACACCTAACCACAGTGTCTACACTTCTTTGCACTCTAACTGCAATTGCCCGAAAAGAAAGTCCAGCTTCCCGAAGTCCGACTATACGGCCTCTATCAAACTCACTAAGTTGACGAAATCGTACAGGTCTCCGTACTCTAGGCATCGTAACCGATCGTAAAGGATGTCAAGAACCAAAATCCGCCAACGTTGATTCTCTACTGCGGCTGAAATATTCATTTTTAGAGCGTTAGTGAATTAAAAAAAAGCAGTATAAAAACCGGAATGTCCAACTGATGAGGCTGAAAATTTTTTCACTTGTTATTTACAGTAAGACAAATACATTCACCAACTTTTATTAAAATAAAACCATTTAAACTGGGTGTTCGGATTTATATGTCACTTAGTATATGTACAAAAAGTTTTGAACATTAATATTTGAAATTGGTTTTCTCTTATTGGGTGTCAGAATTCAGGAGGATTAGCAATGGTTATTCTTGGGATGGTCATAAACAATAGCTCCAATCCAAAAAGCTACTCCTAGCCAGATGTGCATTAGGTACGTAGGGATTAACAATTTTCATTTTACAGCTTCTACAAGTATATTGTACGTAGGGTTACCAGATAACCTGGATTGTATTGGGAGTTCTGAATTTGAGGCAGGATTTAGGCGTAGGACATTTAGTAGACTCACTTTCATAAAAAAAATATTGGAATTACAAATTGCTCTTAACGTTTTTAATTTGGTTCGGCTACTTACTAGATGAAAAAACTATTTTTCCTTCATGTTGCAACTTCTGATGTTACAGCTGAAATTTTCATCTTGATCGACCATATCAAAGCAGAGCTACACATTAAAAGTAAGGATGCAAAAAAATGTATGGAAAATAAACAGTGGTGGTCTGAAACTGGTGGGTCTGATAAAAAATCTCTGATCTTCTGTTGTATTCATTGTCAAAAAATAACTCCTTTTGTATATGAATTGTGCATTCGTCTAATGAAAAATGTCCTTCATATTCTGCTCCTCCCCTTGGAAATCGACATTCTGCAATTTTCAAATTTAAACCTGGCAACCCTAAATGTGTGTCAATTATTTACCAATAACTCTATGTTTTTAGACGCCGACCATATTCCTTCATGTTGGAGTATGGACGCATTAGCATCATTAAGCGATGGTTAATCAGAGCCAAGGAGAGGTCAAAAAAATCAGGAGCTGCATTTGTAGTTATAAAGAGTTACATACATTTTAGATTATAAAAATATATGTATATTACTTATATATGAGTATATATATACTCATGTTTATAAGTATTTAAACCTGGTGTTTTTATTCCAATATGTGTAATTAGACTGCTCTTGAAGCTAACTTAAAAGATGTTTAGTCATTACACTGAAAGAATCTCATTAACTTTTAAATCTAAAATGCATTATTAATTAAACTACTACTTTGATACATTCAGGAACGTCTACAGGCAAATGAATGAAAGAAAATACCAATATAGGTGGGTAACGCCAAAGCCCGTTCCATTTTATGGGTTGAGAGCCGGCTTTAGAGATACCAATTGCATCGATTTTCGAATTTTGATCTTAAAATTGTTTATTTGGTGAAAAGGCATCCTATGGATTGTCTCCCACGTGGAAAAATTACTACTTGTGATTTCGTTACACACACTCTTTAAAATCACTGACAATTTTCAAGAGGGCGCGAGAATTTATCAACTATCACCGAGGTCGTATTCATGAAGGTCGACACGTTATATAATTTTTTTTGTAAAAACGTAGTCAATTACGTATGAAACGGATCTGTTGGCTGATTTCTAGTAGGTCCGCATTTCAGGCAATACTTTTTGAATAATTTTTAATTCCCATAATGTGCATCTAGGATTTCAAGAACATGAATAACATATCTGGGATGTGTGAGGGAGCTCCTGCTAAAAATATGCTTCTCTATGCATGAGAATATCCCATTAATCTTATGTTACAAACTTGTAACCAACCCAAAAAATGTTGGGGAATGTTATAAGTACATATACTGTGTGTGCAATCTATGTAAACTACACGAATATGCAGCCAAAAATAACCTGTAAGGTCACATTTGACTTAATTCATTTACTGCTTCTTTGACATCCTTAAACTTTGCTGATGGATTTAAGTGAATAGTATTGGATAGAAATCAAAGTTTGTTTTTTGAAATTGCATGTGCTGATAAAGGACAAAAATGATTTCATAGACATTTTTTTCTTGGATAATACATAAGAATCATTCATCATCAAATACAGGAAAATCTACATATTCATGATAGGGATATGTGTTATTTATTAATACAGCTTCCAAAAAAAATTAGTTATTGGAAGAATGAAGATTTTTAGAAAGGTTAATCTAGATATACTGAAAACAATTATTATAAAATATTGTATTATAAAAGAATTTAACCAGCATCTTATTTAATATATTTGACAAGTGGATCATCTCTGTTGACTGGTGGTTTGAAATTATTTGGAAAAGGGGCAACACCCTCCAATACTCCCCTTTTGAGCGAGGCCGTGGCAAATGCTTGTACCGGAAGTTGTTGAATTCAGTATATAACTTCTGTCCGTCCAAGTGATTGTACACGCGTTAAGGAATACCTCTGTACCGATACGACTGCTCCTTGGTCCCGATGGGGTCGAAATTGTGGAACAATCTACAAGAAGAAGCTTTTCCCAGTTGTACTAACCTTAGGCAGTTCAAAAATCGGATTAGCAAAATGTCTTTGTGATTCTCATAGTAGCCGCCGTGCCTGTGTGGATAGCTCGCCGTAAAGAAAGTCCATGAAACAGTGAGTTATTAAAATGTATCATGTATCTGAAAAGATAGATCAAGCAGCTGGCAAGATAAAAGGAATTGTGAAGAAAACTATAAAACAGTTCACATAAAACTACATATTTATGGCAGCTTAAAAATAATAAAACAACAGCATTAATAGAATACATTTTATTTATTCTATAGAATTTCTCAGAAGGCTTCCTAATATATAATAAACTCACATTCTTCTTTCCATCAATAAAATCAATCATTTAAATATCTGGGTATATAGGTATGTGGATAATAAACTACTGTTTCATGAGCAATATGTATACATTATTTCAAAAATATCAAAAAGGATAAGTTACTTCTATAGAGTTTCCCATAATAAAAAAAAAGTGTTTTAACACCGTCATTCTTCCACATATTTTATATTGTTCAAATAATATTTTCAAAATTACAAATTTTACAGCATAAAGCTATGGGAATCATTTTAAATAAAAACAAATATGCTAGGATTTAGTCTATGTTAGAAAAACTACAGTGGTTGAATGTAAAAAATTTCATATGCTATTTAGTTCTCATTTTCATATTCAAATTGAACAACCATTTATTACCACTACATTTAAAAAACTTCACAAAATTAAATAGTTATTATCATAATTACGAAAACAGAGGCAGTATAGGTTTTTATCTGCAAAACTGTAATAGTAGCATAACTAGCAGATCTGATTTCAAAAGGCAGTATTTGAATTTAATAAATTGGATAATGATATTAAACAGTTTTCGAATTTAATAAATTGAATAATTATTATATTAAACAGTTTTCGAATTTAAAAATGTTCAAGGTGAAATTGAACAATCAATTTATGAGTACCCAAAATGCATAGTGATGTAATTTTAATAGACAAGAATGTAAAATTACAGAAAATGGATTCAAAAAAATGTGTTAACGGATAATATGACATGGTGCAATGATTGCAATTTTATTTTCTAACTTAAGTGTATGGATGCCAAATTATGTTTTGTGGCTTTTAGAAGGTGAGGTGTGGGTGGCTATGTAATTTTTCCTACAATTTGATGACAACAATGATAAGTTCAAATTGGTTGGAGTGTTTCATTTAAAAAACGCGTTTGTAGGGAATTAAATTCATCACTTTTCTTTTATAAACCTTGTCATACAGTGAATATGACAAGAAAATTAAGGGTAAAGTTACATTTAAGGCCATTTTCGTTGATAATGGTTAAACTAACAGCTCAAGCGATTAAAAGATTCTTATACATTTATGTAGAGAATTAAGTTATTCTTCAAGTGTATGGAGTAAAAGTCAAGAATTTATAATAAATTGTCGTGCGGCATACCAAGCACTGAACGCAGGTTGCCCACGTGTCAGTATACATGTTTTCACGTGGGGATAACCCTACAAATTATCGATGTTTCACTCAGACGCATGAGTATGGAAAATCTGATATTTTCGGATACTATATGATGTAAATGCAAGTCGCTCACTTCCACCAGTCTCTTTATTGGCCATTTTGTCTCGGTACACTCAGCAACCGTTGCAACGATTTTAGTGGAAAGGGAGTAATGCAATAAACTAGTATTATCTATTACATCTTCTCTTCCATTAAAATCGGTGAAATTAGTCAGTGACAAAGTCGCCAATACACCGACTGATGGAAGTGAGTGACTTGATCTTCATAATGAAAAAAATTAGAAATTATCAAAAAATATTAATTTTCCATGCTTGCACGTGGTAGTATTCTTGGTCATGGGTAATGATTACGCAGTCATTTCATGCGAGATAATGTTACATGCCGATTAAGTGGACCACGTACATACATATGTAGCGCCAGGACTATGTCGTGCGACTGCTCTGGTACGAATTTTCAAGATTCCCTCCTTATACTTTAAGAACCACCAAAATGTCGAAAAAACGTACCTAAGTGATCTTTTTTGTGCCAAATTTTATTCTTTACAAAACGAGATATCATTGCATGTACCTTTACCCTTAATTATCTGGTAACCTGTTCACCAATACAAGGTTTTATAAAGAAAAATGATGGACCATTTAATTAGCCCCAAAATCGTTTCTATACTACCTTGTTACATAGGATCGATTGTTTTCGATATTTTCAATTAAAGGCGTTTATCAAAATGACGGCAAATACTCCAGCCCTGTCATGATGCCAATTCCAACTTGTCATTAGGAAAGCAATAGTGTACCGATATCACTAAAAGGTTACCGTCGCCCAAACTGTAAAATTTCCTTATACATAATCTCCCTACTTAATGGTGTAGACTGTCAAAACATTAATAACTTCATGTTCCGCAAAACAGAAAATGACTTTCCTGGAAAAACGTTTAGCAAATGTGATAACTACGTATAGATCATACACAATACCATGTCATTGACTAGACATTTTTCAATTTTGTAGACATGGTTTTTGAGCATTCTTTCTGACAAAAAAGGGCGCCCATTGGAAATGGTCCTATGTGAATGAATTTTGTATATAGTTAGAAGTAAGAAAGAAGAAAACGTGAAAATTTTTTAGGTAAAAAAATTAACTGTATCGCTAGAATCCGCTAATATTGTCTTGAACCGACTTTGTACATTGTCGTACAGTTATCGTAGCGTGCTTCTGATGAGGTACCTCATACCAAACTCAATGCGAAGTGTTGCTAATGTTGGTAGAGGATAAGGTAAAGAGGTCTCTCTTCTTCCCATCATACCCCATGGATGTTCATTTGACGAATGGTGCCAAGAGATGATGATGATTCGGTTGTTATTGAGGTACCATACTTTAGCTCTACTCTAGTATTACTCCTAGAGTGGCAATGATCTATTCCATATAACTTTCTGGCAGTTGAAGTCGATTGCAGCTCTTTGCATACATCTCTGTGATGTAATATTCAAAACGCAGGTCTTGAGGAAACCTAAAATCAAATGTAATATATCAGTTAAGAATGAAGTCAAATTGATTGGCTTGGATGTGAATGTTGCAGACAATTTGCCAAAGATACCCGAATGATTACTGGGGTCGACATCTTAAAGCAGTCTCTGATTGAGAAAAATACAGAGCTGAGGGCCTGCAGCAATAAATACACATTAGCCATAAAGAAATATTCAATGGACGAGGATAATAAGCACACTCATAGGGAGAATCATTTTTCACCCCAACTAAATAATTGGAAAGGTTAAAACCTATCCCAAAATATTTCTTCCAATCAAATCACTTATAGATTATTGTATACTATATTATTGAGCTAAAACGCATATAGTGAGGAGATAAAAAATATAAATTACAGTTCATTTTCACCCTGAAATTTTGTGAATCGAGAATTCGTGTACCTATCTGTGCTAAATTGTTTGCTATATTTTATCATCCAAGTTCACACCACTTTGACTTGTACTTCCCATGAATTAGTAAAAATCTCACAGAAACGTAAAGAATTCAACAAACTTTTAAGAACGTTGATAAATATTCCCAAAATAGGTTTGTATTTAAGAAACAATGACAAATGTGTGTTGCAGACAATACTGGTCGTCTCACAAGAAACAAGAACGTTTGAAAAAAGAATGCATTAAATTTCCAAGTGTTTGAGCACACTTATAATGTTTGATCCTTTTGGAAACACTGTTTTGAGCAAGCTCAAAAATTGACAGAAAAAACTGAAGCTTAAAGAGGTTCTGATGTTAATTGTTTTTGCCAATGTCACTCAATAATATGTTTAATTTGTGAATTAATATTATTAACTTATGTGATTTGATAGAGCTGATTAACTAAAATTTACTTCAAACTTATTGTATAATCAGTGTACTGTCGAAATGTTCAACCATTTAAATAATACAGTTAAAACTTTGTAAATAGTGAAACACAGATGTTTTTGATGGTGACGACTAATTCATTCATTCAATATTATCTTTCTGCTTACTTGCTTCAAAATACTGCTCAGCATGTTCAACTTGACTCTACTGATTGCTGTGTTTGAGGCAAAGAGGAGAATGAAAGTTCAAATGAAACCAAACATCTTTAAAATTCACAGACAAACTGCATGACAATTATTATTATGAAGAAAGTATAGGTAAAATAACTTAATATTGATACTGGGTCTTCCAAGTGGCTAATTGACTAATCTTATTAGCAAGAAACAATTATATATAAGCTACAGTTGGAAAGCACATTATGAATAAAAATTATATTCATCCCTACCTACATGCCTCAGGCTCGGTTAGTAATTGCCTACTTCTCAACTTAAGCACATAATGACATTGTAATTGTTTAGAGATGGAAGATGTAAAACTTACCAATCATTCGCTTGCGGTAGATATTTATATTGGCGAAACTTGACTGATGATGTCTTCAATTTATAGAGCTGTGTTCCTTTGTGAAGGGTGCATGTCTGTAGCCACCGAAAAAAGCCAAACGATCTATAGATGTCAAAGCTTTCTTCCAAATCTTGTCCATTCATTCTACAAAAATTTAAAGGAATTTCTTTGTGTTTGGGAATTCATTTCATATACTTTCCTGGCAACCTACAGTACTGATGTTTTATTTCTGGAAAATTCAATAATGTAATACTATCATATTTAGTGATCATGAATTGTTGAATAAATTCCATAATGTTCAAATCAAATATTTTGAATGCTTGACACTTAGTTAACAAAGGTCTCTAATCTACGTTTAGAACACTAGCCTCGAGAACAACTGCTGTATGATAGCAATGTGTGAATATCACAATATTAAATTCAACATAAACGTACATTCTTTACACTACATGGTAGATTATATGTATGTATATGTTTCGACATTGATCTTTGATTCATTCGAATACAGACATTTATACTGCTAACTAGGTTTTTATATGGAATAACTACTTCTTCAGCAAATGGACCATTCAAATATTATGTAAGCAATAAAGAGTGATTTATAATGTGGGGTTATTTTAGTGATTTCATGTTGAGCCAGCAAATTCGCAGTTACAACTATATCGTTATTTAATTTTACTAATACTTTTACAATATAACATTTGATTTTTAGTATCTCTGACTGAAATACCAGTGCTGTATCTATTTCTAATTCCAGTATGCTCCCATTTACCTTTTGCTTATCAATGAGGTCTATCAAAACAGAGTTGTGATTTCATTTTCATTCTTTCTCAATAGAACTACCAAAATTGGAGCTAAATCTATTCAAATAATGTACTGTCTACCTTGTTATGTAGGAGAATATAGACAATCTTCAAGCAATCATAATATCTGGTTTTAATAATAAGTGAGACAATAGTGAAAAGTGGAAAAGGCATTCACAGTTTCAGAAACTGTGCTGGAGTCCTTATGCACTGTTAATGTTTCCTTCCATTGATACAACAGTTGGATACTGACCACTAGAATTTGAGTTCAACAAAATGCTAATTTGAGTAACATACAAAAGATGAATTAATTCAATCACTTACACTTAAACATTGCAATTATATTCACTGTACACTGTGGAATACAAGTCATATACATGCTAACAGTAAAGTACACACAACGCGGGCGCGGTGATGATTTTTTTTTCATTCTTCTCAAAGTTTTTGAATACACAAACGTAACTTTGAACATAACCTCTCTTCAGAAAGAACAACACAAATAACTCGTATGGCACAACTAATAGATATACTTCATTAGTAGCATAGTCAGTAATAATGTTCTCAACTTATCAAATATCACTTTTTTATACACATGCAGACCAATACAATCATCCAGATGCGGGCTTGCTACTCAAACAAACTTTCGTTTTTCACATTTTAAACCAACGTACACATTGAGGTTAATGAACCACACTATGAACTAAGAACTATCACTGCAACCCGTCATGCACAATAATGCATAATTAGTTAGAGAAAAGTATCTCGTATCGTTCAGATATTCGTTCATAGATGGATCGCGCTTACAACGATCCTGATGAGCAAACGTGGAAAGACTGTTTGCACCCTAAAAACTATCTAGTATGCAAGTTGACATTGTGTAGGTTTTTTGACGTTTTGTAGGTTTTTTACATGATAGCCATGCCGGGGCTATTTTGTTCTACCTTTATTGATGAAGGGGTTAAGAACCATCAATGTCAAATGCTCCACTTGATTTTTAAAATATGTAGGAATTCCATCTTAAAAATTTTAGTTCTTTGTGCCATCCCCAGCACTAGGGCTCTAAAACTAAGGAAGAAACGTCGACCTTAGTGCTCATCCATCTAATGTATTTAATTAATAACGAACAATACTCGAGGATGTTGCTGGATGTCTCGAATCTACCCTCGAGACAAATATCATGTCGCACGTTACTAAGCATAGCAAATTACTATCTGCCTCTAACCACAGCAGCGTGAAGTTTTATAAAAATTTCATGAGAGCAAGAAAGCAAGGAAACGTTTTCATTAGGAAACCACTCAAAAGTTGGGGATCGTGTGCCTGGAGGTCGCTTGAGAGCTTGAGCATTTGAGATGGCAGCGTGAAGCGAAACTACTTGGCCTTGTAGGAAAATGAGAGCGATCTTAGCGATGCATGTGTCTAAAAAATGGCATCGAGCGGGTCGACTCTATATTTCTAAGCAACGTTGTTTGCTCAGATACCAGATTCTCATTAAGATTTTGGAACGTACGATATCTGTTAGATTACTCTATAAAGTAATAGAATTCCGGTTGGTTTCACTATCGGGGTGTTCGACCACATAGGGAATAGCTTATTGAAATGCAATTTGATGAAAGCTGTCAAAGCTCTCCTAATATCAGTAATTTCTATTGAAATATTGAATAAAATCGTGGAAAAGCTGTTGTATTATAAATAAGGGTACATTCTAGATGTAATAACATGACTTTGAGCTTTAGAATTAGGATAACTTTCATAGAATTACCAATTCTATCCTTTTAAAGAATGGTAATGCAAGAAATAATAGGTCGATTTTCTAGCTATTATATTTACTAGGACGTTTTACCTGTTGTTGACGACTGTCCATGCACGGCAATCTAGTTTTGTCTCTATACCACATGCAGGGTGTTGTACATGACACGTACCTGTAGAAATCTACCGATCTCTTTATTTTGCAAACTAAGGATGTAAAACGTATTCCTCTTGGTTCATCATCTTTTGTTACGTTACAAACAATTTATTAGCAATATGCCTCAGGAGTCGGTCAGGGTAACTTTTCACATTTTTACCGGTATACCACGGTAATAGAAGGAATATAACAAATACAAAATAAAAACAATGTAAGGTGATCATAGGTTTACTTTGATTAAGTGTATAAATTCAACAAAGCTGTAGATCTCTTTTATATCTAAGTCGCGACGTTGAAATTTGTTATTCGGTTCTTAGTCACAGAGATTCATTTTTAGTGTTCTGTCAGCCTAAAAATAGGTGGTCAAGATTTTCAGTTTCATTATATCTTGTGCATAGGTCAGCGTCCAGTACGCCAATCCGTTGTAAATGCTCTGGGTAACATGCGTGTCCGAATCCAAATCTGATCCTCATTAGTGTCAACGCAGTTTGTATATTTGTAATCACTAAACCAGATGGTTCTGGGATTTCGGCCTGTATCAATACATATCTATTTACCCTTTATTATTTTATTGAGCGCGTATACAATATGTGTTGTTTAAGGGTATAGTTCTCTATTAGAACTAGTCCAATGTACATACTGGCTGCTCTTTCAAAGTCCTTTGCAACCATCCTGGAAGCTCCTTTTTCGATTCTATTGGCACTCATCCATAAGGACTGGATGAGTGCCAATGGATATCAGGAGTACGTACCACTTGAGAGTTCTGCGATGCTTTTGCAAATGATGACTTAATTCTTTTTATATCTACACATGTATTTTTCTGAATGTTTTGATCTTTAAATATATCGCCCATTTCGGCCAATTTTTAATTTGTGTTATTTCGTCTCTGATGGTTTTCTGAATATTTCGTCAAGTAGATTGACGCATTGATATCCAGCAGATAGGGACTGACAAACGGACATAAATTAGAAGCACGAGCTTGTTTGATGCAGATATCTTTAAGCAACAAGAAACTTTTGAATAGCTTGATACTTCCATCGTTTAGGTGCTCGTACATTTTGAAAATTGATCCAGAGGCGGCGGAAATAAAATCCCTGGAATATAGTATTACCACGTTCAATAGATTACTGCTCATTTTCAGACATTGTCTGTAGGGGATGAAAATAGTTGTAGTTTGGAAGCTGTATACCGTAAATAATTGTAAATTCTTGCATATTTCGTGTCATTGAAAGACCTTCTCTTATTAAGAAGCTGCTGGTCTGACTATGCCCCTGTTGGACAAGATAAGTCACACGAATTTTCCCTGCATATTCCATGGAAACAGAAATAGGTTTGCTTTATATAATTACCTAAGTGAACCTACCTAACTACGATTTGAATTCGCCTTTTGACTTATCACTTTCCATTGAAACCTCCAACGAAGGCGTAGGAAATCTGCTTGTCCGCCTTTTTTTTAATTTACTCCGTAATTCACTTTCATTCACACGCCCAAATGTGGAATGTTGGAGTTTAAAGTCCTCGATGAATAACGGACTGGAAGACCGCCAATTTCTTGGTCGATCAACTAGAAGTCCATAGTTCTTCAGAACAATAGGATCACGGTCGTGAACTTCCAGGAATCTGATCAACAAGCTCAAGGACGTTAATCCTGCGGTTTTGCAGCACTTCGTGTTGGACCATCTCGACAATCACCTCCAAAACGGATGGTCCTTCATTCCGTTCTTCAACCTGGACTTCCTTCCTACCACTACCTAACTCTTACATTCCACATTCGGACGTGTTAACTGGACATACACTTGTCATTCATACAACAATGACAAATAACGATCAATATCCAAAAAGCGACTTACGGCACCGATGTCGCATTTGACATCAGCAATGACAACGTCCATATCGCAGGGCTGCCGAGCCAAGAATGTTCTGTGTGGGTGGAGTTCTTTGGGAACTTAATGTCTGTATTTCTGGGCCGATACTCGTACATACGCAATTTATGCGTTTAATAATGTAATAGTTGATAATTTTTTGCTTTAGTTCATCAATAGGCATACTGCTGTAGATATGACTTCTAAGTAACATGTACATACATACAACTTTTACGATTTTACTAAGTTGCCTCTATACGCGTAGTCTGTTGGCTAGTAATATTCAACATCAAGCGCAAGTTAACAGTAAGCATTGCAGATACAATCGGTTCATTATGTTGTACATATTTTGCTAGTATCAGGTCAGTTATTGTTTGTAATTGGCCGTATCCGCTTAATAATAATAATACTAATAATAATAATAATAATAATAATAATAATAATAATAATAATAATAAACCTTTTTTGCCCAATAGCTTACCGCCAATAACAGAGCAATTTTTAAAAATAGAAGTTAGCTCAAAGGTATTAAGTATATGTATATATACAGGGTGGCGCATCGAAAACTAAACAGACGCATTTACTGGCAGCACAGTTTTTTTTGAAAAACGCTCAGACCCGTCGATTTTGTTTTCGAGGGGAACACAAGTTTGGCAAAAAATCACGTTAGCACGTACAGCCCCCTAAGCGGGGGTGACACCATCCCAAAAACCTTAAATAGAAAGGGGGGTCGAGTGATACCTTATTTTAAAGGTCTTTCAATTCCTTTTATAATGATATAAAATTAATGTACTTCAGTTCAGTAGTTTTGAAGATTTATTGACTTAAAGCTTAAATAAAACTAATACATCATCATTAGTGAAGATCCATACATTTGGCAGCAAAGGAATTTGAAAATGAAGAATGAACTGACCTGTTAGGCAAGTAAATGTTGAAAATCGCGACCATGACTCTCCATGCAATAATAAAGATTTTGCTCAAAACGTTGCCGCACATTTTGCAATATTTGAGAAGTAGTTTCGGGGCACTCATTCACAATTCTTTGTCGCAGGTCTTCTAATGATGTTGGCTGAGTAGCATAGATTTTCAATGACCCCACATAAATAAATCCAAAGGTAATGAATCTGGCGATCTTGGGGGCCATTCAATGGTACCTCGTCTACCAATATCTATAGATCTGGAAACGTCAGATCTAAGTATTGTCGAACACGTAATGCGTAATGTGGTGGGGCACCATCCTGTTGGAACGTCAACCTATTCGCAATGTATCGCCGACCATTCTGATTTTCAATTATGGCTGTTAATGCAGGATCTATGGCGTCTTCCTGTAATTCCAAATACATTTCACCGGTCAAATTTCCAGGTAAGAAAAAAGGACCAACTAAATGATCACCAAAAATACCAGCCCAAACATTTAATTTTTGTGGCTGCTGTGTGTGAACCTCATGATAAATTCTGGGATTGGAATCTGACCAATATCGGCAGTTATGACGATTTACTACGCCATTTAAGAAAAAGGAACATTCGTCGAAAAAGCAAGTGTTGAATAGAAAATGTTCATCGTTTATAATTCGTTCACCCATATCTTCACAAAATTGTAATCGCCTATCAAAATCGTCTTCATTAAGTTCTTGTTCCAGGTGAACTTTATACGGATGAAACCTATGGGCCTTTAGAATTCGTTGGACAGTACGTCGACTAACACCACACACAGTCTCCAGTTTGCGGATACTTAACGTAGGATCTACATAAACTTGCCCAAAAAGCCCCACCTCTATTGCTTCGTTCCTTATGGGATTTTCAATGTTGCGTTTTTTATTGGCTACTGACCCAGTTTCCCGAAATTTAGCTACAAGTTCTAGAACATATTTTCGATGCACGTTACTGTTCTCATGTCGCTCATTAAATATTTCTACTGTTCTATTAGCCCACTGATTATTTCCGAAAAATATTTCGATAATTTTAACCCTTTCTGCTGTGTAATATACCATGGTTAATTTATGTAATGAAGCGTTACAAGTTATTTTAGCCACAAAGTTTGTCGAAATCAATCGCACACTATGTACTAAATTCCTATTTAAAATAAGTACGAGATATTTCCTTATCTTTCTTCAAGAAATAACTTTTTTGCCACAAAAAACGCTCCAATAGCTATTTTCAACAACAAAATGATAAACAAACCATGGGCGTAGTGAAGAAAAGCACTTACTTATTAAGTAAATTCTTTTAGTCAAATTTCTTCTGAAAGTAGTACAAACTAATCTGATGTACCTTCTAGAGTCTACTTTAAGCTTTAAATCAATAGATCTTCAAAACTACTGAACTGAAGATCATATAATTTACATCATTATACAGGGAATTGAAAGACCTTTAAAATAAAATATCACTCGACCCCCCCTTTCCATTTAAGATTTTAGGGTTGGTGTCACCCCCGCCCAGGGGGCTGCACGTGTTAACGTGATTTTTTGCAAAACTTGTATCCTCCTCGAAAACAAAATCGACGAGTCTGAGCGTTTTTCAAAAAAAAAACTGAGCTGCCAGTAAATGCGTCTGCTTCGTTTGCGCCACCTTGTATATATATATACAAAATGGTAAGTGACTTAAGTTTTATTCTTTATCTCATTATAATCGCAACCAAAAATGTCACAGGCGTTAGCAATTTTATTGTCATTGCTAGTCGTCATATTAACTGGTGCCTTTGATAATAAGTTAGTCTGTGCTCTTTGACGTAAAAAAGGAACACCAGTTCGTGAAGCTAACCGCGGCACCAGAAATTGCAACAGCGAGAGAATTTGGGGACAGTCTACTTGACCATGCGACATTTTATATTAAATCAGTACAGAAAATTGATCCCGTCGCTGCTGTAAAGATTGAAACTCAAACTTTTGTAAAAGGTCTTTGTAATCGGAACCTCTTGCAGGGTATACTCCATCCGTTTTGAAACGGAGAAGCTTCAAAGATATTTTCTGAATTTTATCAACAGCATATTGTTTATAAATAGGGCTCCATATAAGAGATCCATCTTCAAGTTTCGACCTTATCAGGCTGAAAAATAAAGATGTCAGATATTGTCGAAGTTCCTACAGTTTCTGATTATGAAGCCATGGATGCACTAGAAATTATTTGGTTTAATTTATTTATTTTAATTAAGCTGATGAAGTAATATTTTTACGAAATATAACTATCTATAATTATGTATTAAAAGAAAATAATTACGATGCCTGTGAATACGAAATAACCATTTCTGGCCATTTAGTAAACGAAATTTGATGTTCTAGGGATGCGGTTTTCTCAGTTTCAGATGAACTACAGACTCTGAGCTTAATTAACATGGCCTTACGCTGCTATGTTTTCGTAAAGGTGGGTGAAGTACTAGTAATTGTGAATCAATATATAAATTAATATTTGTGCGAGGTTAGGGATAATGCAAAAATTTTATTGCGGTGCTATGTTGCTGGAAGCGGTTTGTGCTATAAAAAGTTGAATGAACTTACAGAATAACTAATAAACATCGGACAATGGTATGTAGCGTCCCTAAAATGAATAAAATATAAAAATCAAACAAAAAAAATGCAGGTTGTAGCATGCATCAAGCTTAGGAAGCGGTATGCAACGTCAATAATACCATAGAATATTTTTTCACAGGACTCCGTTAATAAATAAAGCGAAAACCTTACGGGAAATGTCGTTGTTCTGAACGGGCGGAATAGACCGACATCTAAATTCGTTGCGCCCAACAGCGCCAATCATACATATGATTACGTATTTTATCAGACACTTCAATTTCGTTCAACGAAATGTCTGGGAAAAAAAATTAGGTGAAATATTCTGAAATAAACAGTTATGGTTAACCTTACTTGACATTTAAGTCAATCACAGGTTCAAATGCTTATGTGTGATGCCAAACGACGTTGACGTTAACATAGGCTGTAATGTGATAACCCACAGCTGGCATTTAATGCTTTAAGCATTTACTAGTGTTCCATTTATGCCATATTTGTTACAAATAGGGCAATAAGCAAACAAATAAATTACCGTACTCTCACTGGTCATACATGTCAGTTGTTATAAAAAAGGTTATGCTAGGCTTTGGTTTTATCACAATTCAACTGTTGTGCTCCTGTAGGTGCACTTTGTTTCGACCTGGAGCATACAAATCAAATCCAGCGTGTCCCAATTTATGTATTCGATGCGGTTAGGAAATATGAGAACGTAACATATAAGTGGAAGGATTTACAATGGCTATGTATGAAAGATCGTTTATTAGCTTATGTTTTATGCACCTTTCATAAAATAATCACTTCCAAAATTACACGTATCTTTATATGCAAAACCTCTTTTTTATTGGACATTAGTATCAGAAATAAGTATAGAAGCTGATGTCGCGGGGCAAACTTTTTTGAGAGATGTTTTAAATTCAATGTACAATATGGCACAATTATTTTAATGTCATGAATAACACCAATAAGGCTTGCATTCATGCATATGGTTTATCGTTTGCTTGAGTTTCACTGGGTTTCCCTAAAGAAATGTCTTAAAGAAACACTTAAGTGATACAACTCATAATTTTGATGATTACTACTCGTATATCTGTCCTTGAAGCTAAACTGATTATTTTTCAAAGAAATAATGCTTAACCATAACCTCGAATAGTTAGAGATTCGAATAGCTGCCGTCAATAAGTGTAAACTGTACGATGTCCAAAGCACCATTAGTGAAACTTGAATGAATATTGTCTACAGATGTTAATGCTCTCTTCATTCTGCAATAAAAAACTTAACAAAAATAATGATTGTACTTGCTTTAGTTTTCCTGGACAACTGCTTTGATGATTATTTTCAACTTATGTTGTTATCGTAATATACCTTGGATTTAAAATGGACTTGTCATATTACCTCAGTCAGTTTCCGATTACTTGCATTTTAGTACCTGATTTTGTA